AAAGCCTAGGCCCTCCAAATGGAGCCCACCTATAAATATTTGGGCCAAAATAGTTTCCTTAGGTGGGTGTGCATGTTACCATCTTCCTATGTATTGTTCCAATTCCATAGTGTACCAATGGATTGTTCTCTTTGTCAAGGAGGTGAAGTCTGCTGTTTAATCCTTAAAGGAATGTGAATTTGCTAGTTTAGCCAAGCTGTGGCCAAGAGTGTTTACATTTGGATTCTCCTGTCTGTTTACACAAAGGATTATGCCCTTGTCCACACTGCTGGCAATTTTTTTTCCTGTTAGGTTTCTGTTATGATGCAGATAGCTACTTCTAGGTCCTAGATCAAATCACCAGTAGTCCACTGTGGGCATTTAGCCTCCTCACATGGGAAGTAAATGTAAAGAATGGGTGTAGGTATATATGACACTCACTCCTTCCTCTGAGCCCCTGACCTTCTGTGTTGATTCAGAAGATTTGCAGGGGCTTTTTGTATCCATTTCCCTCAAAGCAGGTAGATGCATTCATGCAATTGGGAACTCTAATAATGTCCTGAGATGCCACTTTTGGTCTGAGGAAATAGGGATATTGGGGCCTGGGCTCGTTTGTATGTCCATGCGCCCTTCCCATCTTTAGTTCTCATTTGAAGAGGCTGAATCCCAGGATTGTCTCTTTATGTGTTTTCAGAATGGGAAATGTATTTCATATATTATTTAGCCCATTCTTTCATACCTATTTTAAACAATAAATGATGAAAGAAATAGAATATTCTTATAGCGATTATAAGTTTTAACTAGTTCTTTAAAAGCAGTATGTGTATCACCCAGATAAATTTTGTTATCATTGCTTGCACCACCACGAGGGCTTTGTAATGGTGCTATCTTGGTACTTTCAACTACAGTTTCAGTGCACAGTTGTAATATACGTACTTATGAGACATTGCTATTGTGATGTGCCTTCAAGTCAGTCCAACTTATGGCGACCCTAAGGTGAACCTATCAAGAGGGTTTCTTGGCAAGATTTGTTTAGAGGAGGTTTGCCATTGCCTTCCCTTGAGGCTGAGAGCATGTGACTTGCCCAAGGTCATTCAGTGGGTTTCATGGCAAGAGTTGGGAATCAAGTCCTGGTCTCCAGATTGAAGAAGAATCTCCAATTAATGTAAGAGGCTTTAAAAATAGCACACCACAACCTTATACAAATATTATTTCAGAATTTAATACTTGGATTCTGACCAGTCACTTTGTGTAATGCAGTTCATTGTCCCTTGTCCTTGATGCAGTTAAGAAGTTAATTAGATCTTAGCTGCAAGGGTTACCAAAATGATTCTCAAAGGCCATGCACTTTCACCACACTCCTCAAATATCTTATGGCTAACAGTGGGACAGGCACACTGTAAATTTTGTAAAGTGTGTCAGAAACTCTTTTCATCATGCTTTCTTAAAAGGAGTGGGGTAGCACCCAGCCCTACCTTCTGCAGATGGAAAGCAATTTGTTTAAAGAGAAGAGGTTCCTGTTTATGTAGTGGCCTTTCTTCTTCTTCTTCTTCTTCTTCTTCTTCTTCTTCTTCTTCTTCTTCTTCTTCTTTGGAGAGGAAGCGAAACACAGAGACTAAAGAAATTGTCTCTTGATGTTTTACAGCAGGGATGGACAACTGTCAGGAGCTACTTTGTCTCCCAATTTTTTGGGGAAAGCAGGAAATAAATAAATAAGGAAAATAAATAAGGAAAAACAGAAGGGGTAATACTAGCCACCTGGGATACTTGGAGTGCTGCACCCTCTATGTCCCTAAATGTCCTCCCAACACCCTCTAGCAGGTGTGGAGCAGTGTGTCCCCATTTTTGGTCCTTTCCAGCCCATTTTAAGGAGTGACATGGTCTTTTTATTAACAGGGTATAGTCCAGAAGTCAACTTCTGGGTCACCCCCTTACAGGAAATGGGCCCAAAATGGCCCATGGGGGCAAAAAAAAAAGGCAAACTGAAGCTAGATTAAATAAAAGGGGTAACATATATATTTTAAAATAACAAGACTATGGGGCTCTTCACATACTGCCACTCCACTTTCCAAGTTTTCTTCCCCAACAGCCTGCTAAAAATTGAGAAAATTTGAAAAGGGTTGACAGTGCCCCCCCCCATACCACCAAAGATTGGAGGTAGTAAGCACATCCTTGCTCTCCCCTCCTTTGAGTCCACTGTGTGCTTACCCAAAATGCCTGAAAAGAGCTAATGTTTCACTGTGTATCTGTCAGTGTACAGTCATCCACAAAGCTTGTTAAAAACTCTGTAATTAAATGAACAACAGATTAGTTATTTGCCTCTCATAGTTCTCATGACCAATCATCAGTTGTGCAGCCATCCAACAAATGACTGTTTTTATGGCCTTTCAAATAATATGACTAAAAAGTAAGCATTTATAAACATAGGGTGGGTGTATGACAACTACTTTTGGGAGTGGGGAGGAAAATGTGGAAATTAATAGTGTTCAGTAACAGGTTTTTTTTTTTTTTTTGGAAAGCAATTGGTTGCAAAACAGCTGTCTCCAGCGTCTTGAACATCTTGCAGTTGTCAAGATCTGCAAGAGAGGTTTAGTTTTAAAATGTACTTCAGACACATTGAAGAGGCAAAGACAGTTGTTAGAGAATGCATAAATAAACATTTTCTGTTAAACAATAAACTTTTATCCTATTAACCAATAATCCCTATAACTTGTTAATAATGACTAACAGCAAATCCTGTGGTAGCAAACACTTGGAAATAAAAAAAGCCTGCATTTTTCAATACCCCCCCCCCTTTCTTGCTTCTCTTTCCAAACCCGTTACAGTGAACTCTGATGGACTATAATGGTCTTAGAGTACTGCTACATCCGAACAATATAGAAGAAACAAGCCATTCTCCTGCATGAAAGTAGATGGACAAGTGGGACTTGCAACAAAGTGTTTGTTGCCTTGTGGAATTGTCCTGCTCAGTGTACCAGTCAGTTAATGACACCCATCTCCAGGATACACTTTTCCATTCCCTCCCTTGTCCTGTCACCACCTCCTACTGAATACACACAATCATCAAAGGAGTGTCTTTCCCTATAAGATTTCTCAACATTCTCTGGGTGTAAATGTTGAATCCATTCACTCCCTCCTGTAAGTTTCAGAAGAAGAAAAGTATGTTTACCTTAAGTGTTTACATCAGTAGAGGTGTAGATTCAGATTTTGATTGCAGTTGTTGATTTCTTAAAAACAGTTTCTACATAGTAGGAAGCTGTAGGTTAATGGTGCTGCTATAGGTGATAAATCAAAGTAGTTACTCCTCAGATTTCTGTTTCTCATTCCAAAAATGCGAAAAAAGGAGAATGGAATTGGGTAGGTTGAGTGCTGATGTTGGTGTGTGCCTTCAAGTCACCTGTCGACTTATGGCATCCCTATGAATTTTAAAGGATTTTCTTAGGAGGTGGTTTTGCCAATTCCTTCCTCTGAAATATAGCCTACAGCACCTGGTATTCACTGTCAGTCTCCTATGCAAATATTAACAAGGGTTGACCTTGCTTAGCCTTCAAGATAAGATGGGGCAAATAAAGCAAAATGTAGAGGGAGTTTGGGTACTTCATTTACTTAGGTGTGGATAGGTCAAGGATGGTCAGCCAGTGTACTGCAGTCCAATTCTGGTCATCAAAGCAATTCCATTTTGTTTCAGGTGGCTCCTTATAGTTTTGATTATGGACTGAAAAGTCTTGAGTGAGAAATGTAGGCCAAAATGTAGGGGCTTAGGGTGGGAAGTTCTTTCATTCCCCACCTCCCCCAGCTTGAATTGATTGATTGACTGACTGATAGATTGTGTTGCTCTCTGTTTTGTAATTATCTTCCCATTGTAGACATTTTTCCCCAGCAGCAACCATTTTTTTTAATCCAGAGGTCCCCTTGCTACAACATTACATTATAATGACATGGAACTACTGAATTTATTCATTTATTTATTTAGACAAGGTGGCAGCAGCCACCAGGTAGTGCACTACTGATAAATTTAACTTAGTTTTTCTGCTCTGACTCTTCAGATGCTTGAAAATCTGAATTTACTGCCTAGAACAGGGATAATTGAATGGGAGAAATAACTTAAGGGGCCAGCCTTAAATTTTAACTGAAGTGGGGTGGACCCTCTTATGTTTAATACATAAAGCAAGCAAGGAAAATACTATTGTAGAACAAAATTGTCCTGATTGTTTCAGTCGGTGGCAACTTGCATTGTGGGAAGGCAGGAATAGCATGCCTCCTTAAATTACATGACACTGCTCAAGCCTGGTCAAGATGTTCTCTATAATGCCATGACCCAGCTGTGCATCTCTGTAGCAACCCACTGAGACCTCTATAATGCATTAAATTTTCTTCTAAAGAATGCAGATGTCAGTTAGGAACATTACAAACTGAAGCAGTGAGGCATTTGAGGTGAGTCGCTATACCCCCCCATCACCTTATTAAGGATACAACATTTAATTTTAATATTCTATTAATTCAAACCCCTTTAGGTCATTTAAAGTTAAGTGAGCTAGATACATGGGGAGGAGAGTGCAGTAATAATGCCCCCCCCCCAAGTTATTGTTTATCTCACCTTCCACAAGTGGAGAGCAACTTTCTGAAGAGGGAAGCCTGTATCTGTAGAGGCTCTTCATGTGATCTCCAATCCTGGTTTTCTAGTTCAGTTTGCTGAAGCTGGCAATACTGAGTTATTTAAATAAATAAAGTTAAATAAAGTTATTTAAATAAATAAATAAAATAAAGTTCTGGGAATTGTACAATGCAAAGGTGTTTGGCTCACCAAACCCTGCAGTGGGTCTCCAGACCCTTCTATTTTGGGAAAAAATGACCTAAAATGGACGGTTTTACCTTCAAAAGGTGTGACTGAACATTTTAACACTATTTTGCCCACCTTCTCTGTACCTTCAGTGAGTCCAAAATAGCCTTTAAAAAAAAACTAGCATCTTCAAACAGAAATGATGATCACTTCCAGTATCTTTTTTTAAAACAAGTGAGGAACCAGTGTGGTGTAGTGGTTTGACTGTTGGACTACAGCTCTGAAGACCAGGGTTCCATTCCCAGCTTGGCCATGAAACCCACTTGTGCAAGTCACACCCTCTCAGCCTCATAGGATGGCAATGGCAAACACCCTCAGAAGAAACTTGCCATGAAAACCTGTGATAGGTTCTCACCTTAGGGCTGCTATAAGTCGGAAATGTCTTGAAGGCACACATCAAGTGTTTGTGGTGGATGATAATAATGAAAACTTGTGGAAATGCCTCGGGGTGGGGAGGTTTCCACTGTTTCCTGGTGTAAAAGATTGGCCTACAAGTTAAGTGCACCACTTCCAAGATATCCTCCTATGCTTGTTGTGACCAATTCTTGTACAGAATATAGAGTGCTGCAGGAAAAAGAATACTGTATTTGCTGGTGTATAAGACTACTTTTTAACCCAGGAAAATCTCCAAAGTCAGGGGCTGTTTTATATGCTGGGTGGAGTAGGAGGAGGAAGAAGGGGTGGCGTGGTG